CCTCTAGGCCTTACAGTACTTCAGGATATACAAAAAACACTTTAGTTGAAAGTTCCAGCTAACTTCAGTAAGCATAGGACAGGATTTGTTAAGGGTAATGATGATTACTATAATTTTTCTTTCTCGCTGAGATGTGAGACACTTGAGAAAAATGTGTCCTTACAAATTGAAAGTTTTTGTTTAGCAAGAGTTAAAGTAAGGGGAACTGGTGTAAAAAAAAGGACTTTAGTTAGTGTTGGAATTCAATCTTTAGTCAGTTGAGATTTCTAGAAATGTCACAACCTCACCTTATTCTGGACAAGGGAGGAGAGCTCAAACATGAATTGGAACAAAAAGTAACTTGTTTTTACATAAAGTGTAATGATGAACGAAAAGTGGCAAAACCAGCTTATAGCCTTGTAGTATAGAGTTACGTTTTATCCAGACAAAAACATAAAAAGAAAATGGACTAAATAAAGGCAAGTAGAAACTATGAGGCAGTAAAATAACTCACATCTACCTCTAAATAAATAATTCAGAGCACATTCCTCAAATAAATAGCTGTGGCTGCAATGGTGGGTACGATCAGTTACAGCACACTGACACTTCAGAAATAAAGTGGTCTCTATTTTAGTGCTACTGACTGATGTGTTTTGGAGGAGATGCTAACTTCATCTCATCTTCTGCCAAAGTAATGTGTAACAATACCAATCCCCAAAACAAGAGTGGTTTGCCAGGCAAGGAACAATTACAATCCCTCCCAACTGCAAAGTCTGTTGGAAGAATATTAGAAATCGATGGACCCCCGGTGAGGCCAGAGGGGCCGGGCCACCAGGCATGGCTCCAGCACTGGCAGCATATCGGGGCCCCTTCCATCTGTTGACCTTGTCTTTGTGTGTGTGTGTGTGTGTGTGTGTGTGTGTGTGTGTGTGTGTGTGTGTGTGGTGTGTGTGTGTGTGGGTGTGTGTGTGTGTGTGGTGTGTGTGTGTGTGTGTGTGTGTGTGTGTGTGTGTGGTGTGTGTGTGTGTGTGTGTGTGTGTGTGTGTGTGTGCAGGGCCGTATCTACCATTGAGGTCACCGAGGTCCGGACCTCGGTAATTTTTTCCGAGCTGTATATAACAAAACTTGTGAAATAATTGCACTAAACGGGATTCTTTGTAGTACTTCCATTTACTGACCATGGGGGCGCTGCATAACTACGTAGCCTCGATTAAAGCAAACAGAAGAAGACGACATATCAACAAACCTCCGCAGCCCGGACTTGAACCGGAGCAGCGGAGGAGTGATGAGGTATCTAGAGATCTGAGTCCAGCGGGCTGCTTGTGTTTCTGCTCATCAGGACATCATATGAGCAGCAGATCCTGTGTGAACGCTCTACGTTAGTCAGTGGACACCCGACAACATGCACACTAACTTATATTGCAGCTATAGGCTATATTTTGGTTTACATTGCGTGAATAAACTAGCTAGAGAGCTAACGTTAATTACATTCATCCAATGTCAGAAGGATTACCTTTTAACAAACGTTGTAATGTTTTTCTTTCATTTCAATTTGAGTAAAACATTGAAGATATAACATTGTATTGTTTTCTTTTTACACTGACTCATATATAATGAAAAGACTACGTCAGTTGAAGCTCAGCTTTGGTAAGGAAGAGACAGGACAGGACAGGCAGAGAGAGAGAGAGAGAGAGAGAGAGAGAGAGAGAGAGAGAGAGAGAGAGAGAGAGAGAGAGAGAGAGAGAGAGGAGAGAGAGAGAGAGAGAGAGTAGAGAGAGGAGAGAGAGTAGAGAGAGTAGAGAGAGAGAGAGAGAGAGAGAGAGAGAGAGAGAGAGAGAGAGAGATGGAAGTCAGGGAGGAACTGCAGGTACAGTCACACAAATAATGTACTGTAGGCTTAATTACCCCATCCATCTATTTATCTATCTATATATCTATAACAATAGTCTTCATTTACAATAGGCATAATTTTAAACAACATACATCTATTGCAGTTATGATGTCATAATAACATACAATTGTATGAAACACAATTTGCCTACTACTTTGTTCTCTTTTGAGAATCAAACATAACAGATTTAAAAAAAGAATGCAAACAAACAAGTGAAATGAACTAAATGGCTGAATTGCTTTTAATTCACTGGCAGGAGCGACAAGTGAGGAGGAGGAGCAAAAAGTGAACAACGAGGGAGAGGTTGAACAAAGAGAGAGAGTAGAGGACAGAGAGAGTAATGAACAGGAAGAAGACAGAGAGATTAAAGAAGATGGAAGAGAGGCTGCAGGTTATGGAAAGGAGAGAGACGTGGAAAATGAATGTTGACAATGTGTTGTGATCATTTTAGCCTCTTCTGCATGTCCAGATCATTAATAGTAACAATCAACTGATTAAAAATAATGTATGCTGCAGCCCACTGACATGGTTATCGATATATTATCCAATTTGTGACCCCCCACAGGACTTAAAAAGCACCTAACTAGATCATGAAAATCCCGGAAATCTCGGGGGAGTATACCCCCGGACCCCCCTAGCATGTTTGGACCTCGGTATTTAGGAAATCCTGGATACGGCCCTGTGTGTGTGTGTGTGTGTGTGTGTGTGTGTGTGTGTGTGTGTGTGTGTGTGTGTGTGTGTGTGTGTGTGTGTGTGTGTGTGTGTGCCTACTCATCTCCTATCTCGATCATCTGCTGGACTCCAATGCCTTCATGTTTCTCTCTTGTTAGGTCTGAAAAGATGCACCAGATGGTTTGTGAAAAAAAAATCATACTCCTCCAAAAGGAAAGATACACCACCCACAGTGCAGCTCTGAACAATTCAAACCATGCGTGGCATACTTTAAACACACACATACATAAAGAGTTCGTTGGTTCATGCGTGAGTTGTACAAATAGCTTCCTGAGAAAAGATTGATGGGAGCAGATAAATCAAATCATCACGAAGGATTCTTGATATAGGCTACTGACCCAAAACATGACCTTGGCTCTGTGGCTGCACGGTGTATCAGAACAGGCACTGTGTGTGTAATCGTGTGCTGTTCCCAAACTGAATAGTCAAGTCAAGTTTATTTATAGTCCTACACAAGCATGTTTCAAAGGATTCATATATCAAACACACTCCAGCTCACATTCACCCTGATGGGTTATTTGGAGTCTCCAGCACGCCTGACCTGCATGTGAGAGCATTAACACAGCACACAGCACGGAGCGACGCTGACATTCAGTTCACACATTTATGATTTTTTTTTTCATTTTGTGGGAACAGTTTTAAAGGAATAGTTTGACATTTTAAGAAATATGCTTATGAAATAATTAAGACGACCCATATATTTGTCTGTGCTTTAAATATGAATCTACATCCAGATGCTAGTTAGCTTAGCTTAGCACAAATATTGCAATCAGAGGGAAATAGTTAAACTGACAACTGTGACGCTGGTAAGCTATATGGTTGGTTGCTTTTTGTTTTTGTTTTACTTGATTTATACATTCAGAAAACAGGGATTACTTAAGAAATAAGAACACTGCAACTTCAATCATAGCCAAATATAAAATGCACAGATTGCGTTGTCTTTCAAATCTAAGCTGAGTCCTCTTAAAATGCTTTTTTCATACATTTTCATAATAAGAACTATAATCTCACTTCTATTTGAGCATCATAACACCCGAGCAGCTGACACACAAAAAGCAATTCTCCACTTTTAAAATACATCAACAAGATCAGATGTGATTTTCCCTTAAACAGCCCTTATTTCTTCTTTTTTTCTCGCACATAATGGAGCCACCCTGGAACACTCATCATTTCCAGTTAATGGTTATTTCGGACGCCCTTGTCACACTCTCATGCTTTTTGATTCAGCAACTATAGGGCATGAGAGTCCAAGCCGCCTGACGGACTGAAGCTCAAAATACCACATGACACTTTGCAGAGAATTGTAGCACACAGTCGAAAGATCATCTGAAGGCTTTTCCTCAGATTGTCCAGGCTTACAGGCATAAACACACCCACTATCACATCAGTGTCTGCACTCTAAATTGCAATTTAGTGATTTAATTTCTCTTTAGCGGCTGCCTGCTTTTTTTTCTCTCCTACTGTAAATGCTAAATTAAAAATGGTCTTAAAGGATGAATACACCAGACGTTATTAAAAACACAATTGTAAAGATATGTCTGTCTGTGTATAAGTTTGTTCTTTTCCACGGATGTAAAACACTTGTTTTTCTCTTCTCGAGGTCTTGTCTTACATGACGCAATGTAAGCAGGGCCACCTCTGTGTTTTTGGCCCTTGGAAAGACATGTCTGGTCTCCGGCTCAGAGGAGGTGAGCTGGCTGAGGTGAATGGTTTTTGATCCTCTCACCAGACGCTGTCTCACCTCCACTGAATAAAGGCTCTTTATTCATCGACGCCTGAAATGAGATGTGGCACTTTTTAGTAGGATGGAAATGTTCTAGTAGAATTGGCATTAAGGTAGTTCCTGCCAATCACTGAAATCAACATCTGGAGATATATGGAGTTTAAAACAAATTGACATTTGTATGTGCATGCAACATTTGCTTAATTCCGCCCAATTTCCGCAATATATTTCTTCATTTGTGCTAGGCACTCATGCATAAGGGAATGCTTTATCTGTGACACAATTGCAGCTCTTCCAGAATTAATTCACCGCTGCCAAAACCAACATATGCTCTTGTCTTATACCATGATTCTGCATATGTCCAAGCTGTTGTCTTTAAGTGTCTTTATCAGGGATGAAGGATCTGTACAATAAGGTCATGTGTAAGACAATTGGCATAGAGGGGTAGAGCTTGTACAGTGTGTCACTTACTCATGCAGTTAATTAAAATACAATACATAAACAGTAATGACACTTTCTCTCTCTGTGTCTTTGACCACATGTTCGTTAACAAGTAATCTCCATCTCCCTCCTCTCTCTTTATGCTCCTTTCTCCCTTTTCTCCCTCTCCCCCTGTCTCGTTTAAGTGCAGCAGCCCACCCTGCTCCGAGCGTTAATGGTACATGCCATTAGAAAGCCCATCTCTGGAAGGGAGGAGGGGAGGGTGGTCTCAATCTCTGCTAAGAGGCTACTTTAGTCTCCCAACATAAGCACATTCACATTATGTCTCCGCACGCGTAGAGCCGTGTCACCCGTCACGACCGAGCAGAGGCACCGAGCCGCGGACAGCAGACAGAAACAGAGAGGGACAGATACGGAGAGAGGTGGAGGGGTAAAGGAGGGAGACAAAGCCAGAGAAAGATAGAGAAGAGGTGCAGAAACACAAACATCGCTGCCACTCTGACGTCTCTCCGCTTGCGCCTGTTTCGGCTTGTTTGAGCGCAAGAAGAGCAGGAGAGAGAGGAAAGACAAATAAATCCTGGGAGCGTTTTTTTTCTTCATCTCTAGCATCTAAGGCATGAAGGCGGGTGTCAGCTGGCACGGCAGAATAAAAGAAAGGGATGCTTTGACTGCTGCCTTTCTTTCAGCAAGGGACTAAGGAAGAGGAATGGGGGGACAACGCGCAGCATGGACACTAACAGGATTTCTAGAATGAATGGGAGTCCTTCTGCCGCATGCGCTGGGAATAGCAGTCTCACGTTGAAGTCTCCGATTGAGGTAAACATAATCATACTTTATTTGTTGTGCCTAGGGGTCAGATAACGCGTTACATCTGAGAGACAAATGCATAGAGATGAAGCGATCTCCGTGCTGATCAGGTTTGGATCGGGGAGATTACCATCTTTGTCCCTGGGTCGCTGCGTGTGCAGCAGCACGGTTTGAAGTGAGAGGGAAGATGAATGCATGTTACATGCTGCAGAGAGCCAGTGTGAGCTGGGGATAGAGAGGAGAGTCTGCGTGATGAAAAGAATTACTGCTAATCCTCATGATGAGCATTTGGGTGTTGAGATCTCAGAGGGTGATGGAGAGATTTCCTCTCCTTTCCAGCTGGTCCAATTACATTCAGAAAGTCTAGTTGATAATGCAAATGTAATTAATGTGAATTTCATCCTCTATGGTGCACATTATAATAACATGTGGAAGAATTAAAACATTTGAAAAAAGGGGGAGTTGAGTGAAAGAACAAAATATTCTGTAGAGCGTGTTTTTCTAGAGCAAAGTCTGACAGAGCACTTTGACTGGTGACCCTAGGGAGCACACTATACCTTCCAGACAGAAAATAACAACTTGTCCGCAGAAGCGAACAAAAAAGGGGGCATTGGCTTGAGAAAAGGAAAGCTTGAGTCGAAGTTAAGTGGGCTGTTCGGTCTCATTTCTGACACCTACCTACCCAGGAAGCCCTGGCTGTTTATGAGGAAGATGCAGTGCAGTTGTTGTTCTCTTCACAACTGATGAAGAGGAGAAACACCATTACATTGTTTAAAGCCATGATCCACTAATGATGCCACATTTTGGTTGATATGGCCATGAACTTGAAAAAAACAGGAAGTATTGTTCCAGGATTAGTGGGGCAAGAGGGGGGAAAGTATTTTACATGTGAAATGTGCATTGGAAATAATATGTTACAGGGTTCAGTGCTTAAGTAGATGTGTGTACAGTAGCTGGGACTCAGAAGTCTCAGTGGAAAATCTTGCACAGACAGCCCATAGGTCTGGGCTCCTGTCCTAAATCCTTACTCATGTGTCAGGAAACATCAACCTGACTCTGACTGGTCCAGTCACAACACACTGACACCCATCATGACATCAGACATATCGGGCCAAATATACTGTCTCTCAAACTCATATTTTCACAGAAAATCTTCAAGACAGAGTAACTGTGTTGCCATACTTTGGCAAAATGTGAATACGATGAAACAACTATCTTTATTAGTGAGCCATTTAGTGCTCTATAATGGGAACCCAAACCCTAGGTCACTACACTGGGAAATGCAATAAAACACAGATTCCTCCACATCCAACAGGATGAACTGTTTGTGCTCCTCCCTTCTTTAAACTTCTCCTCATCTGTTCCACAGTCTACATGCATGATGGCAGCAACACCTGGCGCCCATTCCTCAGCCTGTATAATGCTCACATGCAATGAAGCTGCTCTCGCGCTGCACTCTCTGACCGTGTATATATTTAGTTTCTGCTCAGTCTGGCAATGTCAGCAAATAGCATCCAGATCTCATTTATGGAAGCGGACGGCTTGTCATTTCATTCTGTGTTTATGGTTGCCCCCTCGCCTTGGCCGTACAATACACAAAGTGCTGAAGGGCCAGAAATACACACACATGATGTGGCTGCAGTTTTGCCACTGTTGCCCTTTATTACCACTGAGGAGTAGAATAGGATACAATGGAATAGATATTACAACTTCCTTACAGGGGCCTATTTACAAGATACACTGACACAAAGGAAACCTTTCCCTTAATTAAATGTATTATGTCAACATATTACGCATAACTGTAATAGGTTAGTTGAAAGCAGTGAGAAGTTGAACCTAATATTTTGTATTCTAACTTATTATTTTCAATTAATAATACTATCTGTTGACATAATACTTTTAATTAAAGTCAACATTTCAATTTGTTCACTATGCTATTTTTTTCATTAATGCTAATGGTGTGGTTTATAATTGGTTGAACCTCTTTTTCTCTTAAGTATAAGAAACGGTTGGTTAGGTTATGCTGCAGAAACATTAATAGAGCTATTGGTATCTCTTTAATCAATTATTCCAATTTCTTTCAGAGGGTCAAAGAAGAAATGTAAATTGAGATCTTGATGGTTTTTCTGAAGTGGAAGTACCCACAACTCTTTATTACAAAGCTTATAATCAGCATTACAATGTAAAGCATGAATGTTAGAAACACAAAGACGAAGCAAACATTATGGCCACACTTGAATTTCTGAACTAAAGTGATTCAAAACAGCACATTATTAACTACACTTTGAATTCAAACTTGAAGGTGAAGTGGGGCAAAAGTAGACATCTTCTCATCTGTATCTGACACTATATTGTAAATATGATCATAATCATACTAGACCTTTATTTGGCTAAACATCATGTGTGTGTTGCATGTTCATATCCGATAGCTCAGCAGCATTTCACACATGGCGGCACAGTGTAATAATATGCATTAGACGCGACAAACGGATTACACTTTGCACAAATGTTATGAAAGATATTGACAAGGATGCAGAGGTTTAGAAACAGAGGGCAGTGTGTGGGTGCATGTAAAGCAAGTCTACCTGCGCTGAGAGCTCACAGATACAGGTTTTTGAACCCCACTCCAGCAGGCAAAATTCATGTTTGATGTTCACCGCTGTAGTTTTCTCTTTGAAGGTAGCTCTCTCTGCAGATTCAGTCATGGAGCTGTCCAGCCTAAGGCAACCGAGGGGCGAAGCAGCCGACATGAGAATAAAACATCAACCTTTTCATGTACAATAGATACTCTATATGACTCAACAGCACAGCATTAAGTGTGTTCAGTACATACATATATCTTGAGTTGATATACATACATCTACATTTGGCTGTCACATCTTGATTTTGGAACCAGAGGCAAACAAGCACAGTGTCGTAGTTATAAGGGGGAGAGTTGTATATGAGAGTTGTATATTTTTTTGTTTTTGTTTCACGGTTCTGCCACGAGCTCACAAGACAGTTTTGGGTACGACAACGTGGGGATAACTACAAGGGGGAACTGGTACATTTTTATGATCATAAATATTAACCAGTGAGCCTTTGTTTGCTGACAGCAGAACAGTGTTTATGTGTTGTAGTGCATGTTTTACACCCTTAGTGCTGCAAAAATAAACACATTTTTCACAATTTGCATTCTTGAACCTTGAAAAATACAAGTGCTTTTCTACATCAGCTAACAGTTATTATTACTTATACATGACTTGAGTGCAGAAAGGCTATGATTTCCACCCAGATGTTCTGACCTCCTGCATCAAAACGAGTGTTCATATTTACTAAAGCATCAAAATGCAGATTATTTTTGTTTATATTAAAAAGTCCTCTGAAACTAAGGGAATGTTTTTACTGATAGAGAGTAAGGAGAAACTTTGTTTTGAAAAAGCTCAAGCAAATATAATTGTCCCCTTATATAACACACTTTAAAAGTTAAAAGTTAACTCTGTCTGAAAATTACTTTTCCTCCCTGGATGTTCATAAAGAACTATTATCACTTCTGTCTTTTGAACAGATGGTAAGAGTATACAAAGTAGAGAAAAAAAGCAACATCTTCATTAATAAGTAAATGTAACAATGGTGTTTGCTCAATAAGTCAGTCTGGGTTTCTAAATTGCACGAAAAGTTGTGATGGCATGGTTTGACTATGTGTCCCATGGTGGTCCTAAAAGTAGAAGCTTATAATACATGCCCTTTTTTAATGAACAGCTTGGAACTAATTTTTAGCAAAATGAAACTAAGATCAATCTGTTGAGCCATGCAGCAGTGCTGTCGTACCTCCGTGGATTACACTCCATGGGGTACTTAAAATCTGTCTGGCTACCCATTAAGACAGCCACTATCCTGGCTCATTAATGTCCTGCACAGGAATTAGAATAAACTGTGCTGCACAGACCTACGCTGGCAGAAGATCTCTGCCTTCTCTCCAGCAGCGTTTCTTCTTCCAGGGACAGCAGTTGTTTGCTCGAGGTACATCAAGAGTCACGTGGAGTGACCAGCAGCACAGAATCATTCAATGTTGAATTCCTTCAAACTTTTGTAGCTGTTGGATTCATACTGACATGTTTTAGCTATTTCAGCAGAGGATGCCAACGATAATCACCATGTTTGGCATCACCACTCACTTACATTTGGAAATAGTGTTTGAAAACTGGGGATTATACAAGTCCCAATCAAGTGCATTACATTCAAAGGAATGGACTGCTTGAAGTCTGGCAAAAGCTGGATTTTTTTCGTTTGCCTTTTTTACGACATCATGCTGTATCTTAGAAAGGATTCACTGTTGTGCAGCTTCTTTAATATTTGTTTTCATTAGAGATGGTTTCCAATTGAGAAAGCAAGGTGGTGCTGGTTGACATGTTTGCTGATTAGGGTTAGGCTTTTCTGACACTGACCAATGTGACTTTTGTAGTCCAAGACAACGTGTACAGTGGGAGGTACTCCTGAATACATTTCATTTGAAGATGACCATTCATTCAATGGAATACAAGGTTAAAAACATGTCATCTCAATATTACATTACTGCTCATGCCAAGAGACCCTTAAATGTTCTTTTGTCGATTCCGTTTCAGTTCAATTCAGTTAGTAGTCCCAAGCTTCCCTTATCTCATCATTAAATGAAAGCCAACATGTTTTTAGGCAACATATAAACCATTGTACTGATTGGTGCAGCTACTACTCCTATTTCAGATGCTGGGGTGTAATGTTATTGCATTTACAAACCTGTACCATGCCAGAAAATGCTTCGCTTCAGCTTTGTATGTAGTTGTGAGTGTTGATAAAATGAGCAGCATTATTCCTGTCTCACAGGGATTTACTGCTAAGGCTTGTAATGCTGTTTACTGGTTCAATCAGTAATGCTGCACAATTAAAATAGGTTTCCCCTTTTTCTTAATGAATTTTTGTCTATAATCTCATTATATGTATTGGTGGTTACCCATGGTCCCTGGGGGCAGTACCGCTGTGTTAGTAAAAAA